GTAGCCGGGCGCTCCTAAAGAATAAAACAACTGCCATCTAAAAATGTTTTGATATCTTTTGTCTTGAAGCTCAGCCTCAGGACCAGGGTCCCTCTGCTGGTCTCAAACTGCCCAAGCAATAGCTTGGGGCCACTGGCATTTCCTAGGAGACAGTGCCTTTGCCCGAGGCGCAGTGCTTTGTCACAACTAGTTCCAGGGACGAGATTCTAGTGAGTCCCTCTACCACAAAAGTCGCTCTGAAATCCACCCCAAAGGCTTTCATCCATGTTCTCCTCTTCTGGCTAAGCACAAATGGTCTCCTCTCACACACCACCACAAGGGTGCTCTACGCCCCCCCCCCCCCCCCCCCCCCCCCCCCCACACACACACACACACACACAACACCGTTTTTGTCTCATGGCTTTCCCTCAGTGGATAGAGCACCCATCGGCCAGTGGACTGAAGGGTCCCGGGTTTGATTCTGGTCAAGGGTGCCTGCCTCAGGTTGCACCTATCTCGGATTGTGGGAAAGCAATCAATCAATGTGTCTCTCTCACATCGATGTTTCTCTCTGTCTCTCGCCCTTCCCTTCCAGTCTCTCTAAAAATCGATGAAAAAATATCCTTGGGTGAGGATTAACACCCCCCCCCAAAAACAACAACAACAACAACAACAAAACCCTACAGGATATATAGTCCAAACTTCTCAGTATGGTCCTGTGTCCTGGTTCCTGCATACTTCTATCTCACCTGCCACCCACACATTCTGCTCACACTGGTACACTTAGGAGACCCTCAATGTGCTGTGTTACACGATACACTTAACTTCGTTTACACACTACACATACGAACTCCTAGTTCCCACCCCCTTGTTTCTTCTTCTGGATTCACAGAACACTCCCCCCACAGTGTATAATCTCTATCTGCCTGGCTGACCCCTCCTACTAAATTTGCAGCTTTTTGTACAGCACACCAAGTCTTAATCATTTCCTAAGAAATCCCTACAGCATCCTCCTGTACAGGACCCAACTATGAACTTAATCAATGATAGTAAAATGAAATGAAGACCCATGACAGAGAAACCAGCTGCCTGTAGCTGTGAATTTCCTCACAAAGCATTATACAGTCTGGCCCTATGCCTGAGTCCACAGGGAGTTTGTTCTTGGCTTAAATGGTGGCAAAGTGGGAAACAGGTAAGAGTAAAGAAAACTGGTTTTGCCCCAACATAAGAATGTCCATAGTTCTGCCTCTATCTTGATCCTGGTTTCCCAAGTGCTGCAAAAGGTGAAAACTATTTTTATCAATCTCAAGTTTCTTAGCAATTTATCTACTCCACAATCAAGCTCCCTAGGGGATAAGTAAAGATTGAGTACTGAGACATATGAAAACATGCTCAAAGTCACTAATCATCCAAGAGAGGCAAATCGAAACAACAATGAGGTACCATCTCACACCTGCCAGATTGGCTATCATCAACAGATCAGCAAACAAGTGCTGGAGAGGATGTGGAGAAAAGGGAACCCTCTTGCACTGCTGGTGGGAATGCAGACTGGTGCAGCCACTATGAAAAACAGTGTGTTGTTTCCTCAAAAAATTAAAAATGGAACTCCCACTTGACCCAGTAATCCCACGTCTAGAAATATATCCCAAGAAACCAGAAACACCAATCAAAAAGGATATATGCACCCCTATGTTCAGAGCAGCACAATTCACCATAGCTAAGATTGGGAAACAGCCTAAGCGCCCATCAGCAGGTGAGTGGGTTAGAAAACTGTGGTACATTGCTCTAGCCAGTTGGTTTGGCTCAGTGGATAGAACGTCCGCGCGGACTGAAGGGTCCTAGGTTCAATTCTGGCAAGGGCACACACCCGGGTTGTGGGCTTGATCCCCAATAGGGGGTGTGCAGGAAGCAGCCAATCAATGATTCTGTCTCATCATTGATGTTTCTATCTCTCTCTCCCTCTCCCTTCCTGTCCGAAATCAAAAAAATATATATTTTTTAAAAAGTCTTCCTTCATGTACCTGGCAGTGGGTGGGGGGAGGGGATGTACTGAAGGGTGGGGGCAGCAGGGGAGAGGTCAATGGGGGAAAGAGACTTATGTAATTTTAAAAAATTGATTACTAAGCAAGGGCCCAATTATTTTCATACAGAGGGTCTTAATCCTGGCATCAAAGAGTTATAGAGACCATATAAAGGCCAGGTATTATCATCATTAGGAAACCCCAATGGTTTCAATTTGGCAGACAGGATTTTGTCCCAACTTCCCTTTCTCCCTTTACCTGAGAGCTCAAACTGAGCTACTGGACAGGACAAACACTTAGTCTGGATTAGCACTTCCCACACCAAGACATTTTAGTCACTCTAACCAACTTTATTTCCACACACCCCCCCCCCAAGAGCCAATTGAAAGAAAGCAGAAATGTAGTCTGAGTGAATACTTTTCAGAGTGCCTCTGAACTGTAGCCACTACATACTCCAGGCTTTTCCGAGGAGTAATCATCTGTGAAGAGAGGAGGGATGCCAGGAGGCTTAAGAAACCGGGAAGGAAAGGGAAAGGTGGTTGGTTTTTGAAAGAACATCAGTGTCAAACTGCTTCTGAGCTCTGGTAAGGATTTCCCAATGTCTTTGGAAGTGGGCAAAGCTGAAGCCAAATCTCTTACCCTAAGAAAACTAACTCAAAGACACGACCTTTCTGCTCCGACATCAGCTAAAATCAAATGGTACATTATGACATGTACGAACTTTGAAAACATTATACTAAGTGAAAGAAGCCAGATACAGAGGGCCACACACAGTGTGATTCCATTTATATGAAATGTCCGGAACAGGCAAAACTAGAGACAGAGAAAGTAGATTATGGATTGTGAAGGGTTGGGGCCGGGGGATGAGGGGAGTGACTTAATTCATAGTGTCTTTTGGGGGTGATGAAAAAGTTCTGGAATTAGATCATGATTATGGTTGTACAGCTTTGCTGAGTATATTACAAATCACTAATTTGTACACTTTAATAGGATGAATTTCTGTGATATGGATTACATTTTAATTTTTTTTTAAATAGAGGGGAAAAAGTAAATTGCAGCCAGTATTGTGACTGCAGAATGGAGGCCCTTCTCATTAGAGCAATGGTCCTTCAAGTGTAGTATGTAGAATCACCACTGGAAAATTACCAGAAGTGTAAATCCCAAGGCTCTGCCCCAGACCCAGATAATTTAAAAATCTGGAAGAGGAAGCCATACAATCTGTTTTAACAGGTGCTCATGGTGCATTTTTTAGAGCTATTTTTCCAGAGTAGAAAAAGCTTTTTGCGTAAAGGACCAGAGAGTAAATACTCTAGTTTTTGCATGTTACATGCATTGGGTCTCTGTCACATATTCTCTTCTTCCTTTTTACAGCCCTTTAAAACCTTGAGCCATGGTTTTCCAACTCCTGCTCCGGGGCAACACAGCTCCCATTCTGGAAGCCCTCTGGAGCTTCCAGCACACAGGTGGGTTTTTCCCTTGTAATAAGGTAGATGAGCAATGGCTTCCAGGCTTCGGACAGGTAGGTTCCCCTTAAAGTTGTTGCCCTCCCTCCAGGCCAAGGCCAAAGTCAGTCCAGATCCTATTTCCCATCCAGGTGTTATTAACTCAGCTGCAGACAGTTCATTGTGCTTTGAAGAAATTTATTCAATTCACAGTGGTATCTTTGAACAGTCAGTAAATTCTACTAGGCAAAGCTCAGACAGACACTGGCCCCAGGTATGCCACAACGGTCCCCGAGGAGTGTGAGAAATCACCTACAGCAGCCAAGTTGGAAAGGGCAAGTGACTGTGCTTTGCTGTGTGTCCTTGAAGGCTCTTTGGTCCTGGCTGGTTTTCTCTTACAGGCGTCCAAATAAAACTTCCCTTTCCTAGTCAGTACACACCAGTCTTTGGTATTTAACTGAATGGGCTGAAGAAGAGAGGTAGCCAGGAAATTATACCCATTACAATGTGTGGTTGATGCCTACATACATCCTTTTTACTCACAGTGAGTAGAATTATCTTTTTTTTTTCAAGGTGACCAGAGCCACAGCCATTCTAGATCTGTGTGTGTGTGTGTGTGTGTGTGTGTGTGTGTGTATTATTCATTTCAGAGAGGAAGGGAGAGGGAGAGATAGAAACATCAATGATGAGAGAGAATCATTGATTGGTTGCCTCCTGCACACCCCCTACTGGGGAGCGCGCACACTTATGTGCCCGACAGTGTTCTTTTTTTAAATACACTTTTATTGATTTCAGAGAGGAAGGGAGAGGGAGAGAGAGAAACATCAATGATGAGAGAATCATTGGTTCGCTGCCTCCTGCACACCCCACATTGGGAACAGAGCCCGCAACTTGGGCATGTGCCCTGACCGGGATTCAAACCACAACTTCCTGGTTCACAGGTCAACGCTCAACCACTGAGCAACACTGACCAGGCCCAACACTGTTCTAAGCTCTTCACCTAGTCACTCCTTTAACCCTCACATGGAGATGGGGTCTAGTGTTATTCCATTTTACAGATGAAGAAGCCAAAGGAGAGAGGTTCAACAGCTTGCTCAAAGCCCTGCAGCTAGTAAGTGGGGAGGGGGAGACTAGATTCTAAACACAGGAAGTCTGGCTTTTAACCCCTGGCTCTCTGGCAGATTGGTTTTTTGTTTTTAAATATATTTATTATTCATTTCAGAGAGGAAGGGAGAGGGAGAGATAGAAACATCAATGATTAGAGTGAATCATCGATGGGCTGCCTCCTGCAGGCCCCCTACTGGGAATTGCGCCCACAACCCAGGCATGTGCCCTGACCAGGAGCCAAACCATGACCTCCTGGTTCATAGGTTGATGCTCAACCACTGAGCCATACAGGCTGAGCAGAATTGTCTTTTAAACACAGAAATAAAATCAGACATGATTTTAGAGCAGAACAAAGTATCTATAGACAGGGCTTGGGCACCATGGAACTCTGCTGCCTCACACAATCACCTTTTTTTCAGCACTAAGAACTCCCAGGTGTCTGATAAAACTCAAGGTTAGCAGCACTCCCAAAGAACCTTTTTGACAGGGGCAATGAGGAGAATGGGGTAGAGTGGAGATGAGCCCCAACACAGACCAGCCCTCCCTCCCCAACACACATACTTCCTGCATTAGCTGGAACTACATGGGTAAAGGTTTCATGGCTTGAGAGAAGATGACACAGAGGGAAGAGAAAAGGAGAGTAGGAACTTCTCTTTGTCCCCGGGGTTCTTCCCAATCTTGGCTGCTACCAGAATCGCAAAGTTTTCCTAATTTTCCCAATCGGTTTGCTGAATGTCTCCCTCTGGTCCCAGCAACTTCTCCCAGAGGGGGCCTCAGCTCCTGGTTTCCATGGGATGGAAGTGGGAAGCAGACAGAGGATTTGGTCTTCCGCTCCTTGTTCACTTCCATCCCCTGGAGCCCAATAAACCAAGTGCCTGGGTAGAAGCATGAGGAATTCTGCTGCCTCATACACCCCCAAGTACACTGGAGCCTTAGGCCCTGTTGGCAAAGAGGAATGAGGGCGCAGGCAGCTGAGGAGGAGCTGGTGAATACTGGTATAGACTGGTCCTTGCTGAGGCGGGACATTTAGAGACCCTTATTGAAGTAGACAGAAGGTACAAGTTCTCCATACTTGGCCTTGATGGCGTCTTGGAGCTCCTGTTCCAGGTAGGAAACTGGCAGTTCACTGAGGAGAGAGAAGAAGGTTATGAGTATGCCACCTAGACAGCAGCAAATTACCCATCGATACCAACTCAAATACCACCTCTCAAAAGCCCCTTCCCCATTTTTTTCCTTCAAAATTAGTAATAGCTACTGTACAACACAATATGTTGCTTTTACCTCTACTCAGGCCTGTCTTCCTTCTCCCTGGTGCTCAACTTCCACCTTCTCCACAAGATTACAGGCACAGTGCTCGGAACACAGGAGACATCTAACAGATGACCACTGAGCTAAGAGCACTAAGGAAGGGGAGAGTGGCATCTCCTCGGAATATATTCCAGGTCTGTATTCCTACCTGGTCTCCTGGAACGAGTCCGTCCTCCCACCCACCTGATGCTGCCCTTCCATGACATGGTGGATGAAGAGGTTCAATTCATCCACCCTCTGGCAAATAAGAGCCAGAATAAGGACCTGGGTCCAGCCAGGGGAGATTTATCTAATAACCCAAACAGCAGGACAGAGTCTCTTGTTGTTCCCCCGCTTTCTCTCCAAGGCAGCCCTTGCTGCACTGAACGCAGTTCATCCCTTCGGAGACGTGTTCTGGCTTACCATTCATGCAGGGTTAAGAGGCCCCGAGTTTAGGCTGACAGGCACTTGTCCCTGGACAAATGCTGCCCTTCTTTCCCCTCCCTCTCTCCTTCCGGACAGCAAGCAGGGCAGGGAGAGTAGGGGCGGGACATTTGGTAAAACAAAGGAAGGAAGGAATAGCTGATACCATATCTGTGGGAAGAGCCCACATGCCACTGGCACCATGAAGATGAGGCTGGAAAAAAAGGAGAAACCAAAGCATTAGGGGGCATTTCACCACAGGCCATGCCTGAGCCCCCTAAGGGATGGGGGAGATGCCCATTCACTTGGCCTCCCTTCCCAGCTGGCTCCATGACTCCTCTCCCTTCAACCCTTCTCCTGGTTTCTAGGTGCCAGGATACTCATTCTAGCACAGATTAAAATCAGCCAGCCTCCACCCCTCATCCCTTACCCGGATCCACCCCTGTTGTTCAAGCACATGAAGTCACTAGGGAGTGCAGGCAGCAGCCCTAAAGACCACATGCATCCACTGATATGCAGGGGAAGCAGTGAGGTGTGTGAATCCAAAGGCCCTGCTCCTCTATTCACTGAACATCTGGACTGTTGGAGAACAGTGAGGGGCAGGGTTTATCAAACTTCAATGTGCATACAAATAACTCCAGGGGCTCAGAAAAATGCGATGCTGATTTAGGAGGTCTCGGGAAAGGCTTGAGAGTCTTTACTTCGAACAAGTTTTCAGATGATGCGGGTCCAGGACCATGTCTCACAGGCCTTGGGAGTCTAACAGACCTGAGTTCCTACCACAGCTTTGACACTTAGAAGGTGTACAGTCTGGAGCACGTTACCTCTGGGCCGGCAGAGGGAGGACAAGAGTGTCTGCTTTGCAGCGTCACTGCGAGGACTCAATGAGATAACAACCTATGTGCAGCGCCCAACCTGTGGGAACTGCCCACCCGTGGTAATTCAATGAACAGAAGTTTAGCATGTCGCCGAGGACCAATCTCAGCTCCAGCAATTGGGCAAGTGTCTTTCAATGGCTCCAAGCCTTTTTTTAAAGAAGATGATGGCATCTATGCCTCCAGGGCTGGGGAAATTAAGTGAAATTATAGATGTGTAGCACTAGCACAGGGGGCACATTCAATATGTGTTCGTTGTTGTTGCCGTCCTTAGCCCTGTAGTCCTGGGAGGCATGATTAATGATAGGACCCGTCCAGTCGATGGCAGGCACCGAAGAATGCTGCCGTGACGTGGTTTCCTCCCGTGCGAGGTTGGGATGCTTGACAGCCCCAGGCCGTCCCTCATTTTTGTCTCTTCGTGTATTTTATCTATTTATTTACTTTACTGAGATATAATTGACAGGTAACAATGTGGAAGTGTCAGGTGTTGATTTGATACATTCACATATCGCAACATGGTGATCTGAGTGTTAGCTAACACCTCTGTCATGCCGCAAAACGATCACTTCTTTTTCATGGTGGGATTGTCTCTTTTCTTTTTTTTCTTTTGAAATAAAGTTGTTGTGTTCCTCCATTTTCATAATTGAGATTTTATTGTTTTGAAATAAAGTTTTTATTGCTGATAGTATTACAGATACCTCCCATTTGTCTCATCATTTTTGTCTCTTCTCCAGATTAAGGTCAGAGGGAAGACCCTGGGACAGGAGGGTACCCAAGCTCTCTGCCTTCCATGCGCATGTGTGCACAGAGCCTCACTAGCCTGGTTTCCTCCAAAGACATGAGGTGAGAGCTCTCTAGATGGATCACAGGTGTACTGAGCTCCAGCGCTTTGGAAGTCAGGCAAAGGAGTGCATGTTCTTCAACACAAGTGACATCAGAAGACAGATCTTGGTGCCCCAGCTACCACAGAACCCAAACCAAGAAAACATGTTACTCACAAGCACCCACACAGCATAACCTGCAACGGCGCATGCAGGACCTTGACTTTCTGCACAAAAACAAACAAAAGGAAAACTCACATGGGACTTATATACCTCAAGGTGAACCCCACGCCTGCCCCGCGACCAACCAACCAGCCTCAGGTATAAGACTGCTGGCCCTGACGGAGAGGAAAAGGGCTCGCCTTGCCCTCTGTAGACAAGGCCAAGCAACCGGCTATGTTGTCTGAAGCGGGCTGCCAGCGGGGAGTGGGATGATGAGCCCTACTTCAGTGAGATGAAGACTGGCAGCTAGAGGGAAGGAGGAGAGGGCCAGGAGCTCCCAGGCACAGGTGTGGTGGGAGGACTCTGGGCGGGGAAGAGGCAAAAGGAAACCCCACTCACCTGCATGAAGGGCAGTTTCTCCAGCCTTTCCATGACAATGGGCAATAAAACTGAAAGAAACCAGGGAGAAGCCGGGGGGACCTGTAAGACTTTCCCTAAGACTTTCCGAAGTCAGATCAGGGACTGAATGATTCTCCCTCCTTCCACAGAAGCTCCAGAAAATACTTTTCATTTGGGAGAATGTCAGACTTATAGGCATGGCCACTTGACTTGTCCCCCAAGTCCCAGCAGAAGGGTGCTTCCCAAAGCACACCTGCAACAATAGAGCACGTGCCCAGGCCCAAAGTGTCCTCAAGACTCAAAACGATCTCTGAGAGCTCATGCAAACAGACTTTTTATCCTACCCTGTAACATGCCCCTGCTGGAAGCCCAACCAGGGCAGGGGATTTATTTTCGCTACCACTGTCTCCCGGCACCCCACACTGTGTCCAGTACATTGAAGGTACTTAAGAAATATGTGCTGAATAAAAATAACGTAAAATGTCTCAGCAATTGATGTTCCAAGAACTACAGTGTGGTAGTTCAGCATTCAAGCAAACCAGTATGAGAAGCATCGCTGTAGAAGCTGGGGTCCCACCTCCCACCCAAAAGCTGAGTGTGGCTGAGACCTCTATCATGTGCTCCAGGGGCCCCCATCTTACTCATGCCAGGGGCTGCCATGGTGATCCGAGAAATAACCACTTGGGTGATGCCTATGGCCGCAGCTCTCTGAGGGCAGAAAAGAGCAAGTTGTTAGGAATGACCGTATCCAATATCCATGGCTGGACCAGAGTCAGGGTCACAGCCAAGTCTGAGCTGGTAAAGGGGAAGGGACGGACCTGCCAGGGGCTGAGTGGCTTCTCCCAACCTTCACCTACCCAGCCAGCTTCAGGACTTGAAATGAAGCTGAAAGGACATGAGAAATGTCCCAAACAGAGAAATGTGTGTGTGGAGGGGGCGGGAATAGAGGAGAATGAGAGTGGAGTTGGGGAGATCCTGCTCTGACCACTAAGGACAGGACAGGGTCTGAAAGGGAGCTCCCTCCTCCCACCCAAAGGGAGACGTCTGCTCACCCGAGAATGACCAAGCTCATTGTGATTTTTGTCCTTCACGGAGATGCCTTGGATGAGTTCCCTAGACACAGACAGGAGATGCTGGATTTGGGAAAGGGGTGCTGGAAGCCTGCCAGCCATGTGACACACCAGGGGACCAAGGCCAGGGGACCAAGGCCAGGGCACTCACGCTCTAGGGAGCCACCTCCGTAGCCTTGCCCTGTGACCTTCCCCTGCACTCCAGCGAGTGGTATCTGAAGTGATCTAGGACTTTGGCTAAGAGAGCTAGTCCTAAGCCCAGATTGCCTAGGCTGAATCCTGAAACTGCAGTGTGTGTCTGATCATGAGCAAGTTCCCTAATCCTTCTAAAGACTCACGTATCCTCAACTGCAAAATGGAGACAATCCTGACACCCGCTTCATAGGCCTCAGTGTTGTAACAGGAAAATGCTTGCAAAGTGCTTAGTCCGGTGTCTGACACGGAGCGGCTGCACCACAAACAGTAGCTGCTCTGGTTATTGTTCTCAGGCCAGTTCTTGACAGCATTCGCCCCAAAACCAGGTAGATGGCTGGGACTTACTCATTGGATGGAAAGGAGAAACTGGGTGGGGAAGGGAGAGAGTAGAGGAGCAATGTGTATGCACAGCTATCCCGGTAGTGTGCTCTCAGCAAGGGCAAAGTGACACCTTTCCACCTACTAGCAGTTCTAAGAAAATGTGGCTGGAGAAATTGGTGATGATGATGAAGGCCATGATGACAACAGTAGCAATAAAAGCTAACATTTATGTAGCACTTGTTATGTTCTAGGTACTATTTTGAGGACTTTACATCTATTACATCATTCAATTTTATAACAGAGGAACATCTATGCTTTCTCTAGTCAAGAAATAAGAACTGCCCTAGCTGGCATGGCTCAGTGGATAGAGTGTCGGCCTGCAGACTGAAGGATCGCAGGTTCGATTCTGTTCAAGGGCATATGCCTGGGTTGCGGGCTCGATCCTCAGTAGGGGGCTTGCAGGAGGCAGCTGATCAATGATTCTCTCTCATCACTGATGTATCTATTTCCCTCTCTTCCTCTCCCTTCCTCTCTGAAATCAATAAAAATACTTTAAAAAAATTTAAAAAAAGAAAGAAATAAGAACTGAGAGACACAACAGGTTTCTCTTTTTACCTATTCTTAGAGCCGGGTTACCTGGAAAACATCTACCTACTCCTCTGGCTTCTTTCAAAGCTTCTTGGCTCTGTTCTATCTTTGGACACCTCGCTCTGCTGCATTTCATTCTGTAAACCATCCCCAGGGTTTTGGAAGTAGGCAGTGCTCACAACTTAAATACATTTGCAGTTGAAAGGACATGATTGAGTATAAAATGCACAGGCTTATGTCTCCATCCCACACCATCCAAAAAAAGGCTCCCACATACCTGGCACAGATTAAACCTAAATTACCCGCCACTCGTATTGGAGTGGCCATCACTATTAGAGCAGCCAATCCTCAAGGACCCTTCAGAGGCACACCCTGGCAGCCTCCCCCGCACATCCACCCCAGCTCCAAGAAGCCACCCACTGCCTTGGTCTCTTACTTAGTTTCCCTGCTGACCTTGTGGCTTGTAAGGAGGAAAGGGGACCCCTGTACTCACTGCTGTCGCATCATTGGGATATTGACACAGTTAGCAGCAGCTACAGCAGCAAAGGGCACCCAGCGGGCCACCAAGGGGGGAGCTTTCTGTTGGAGAAAGGGAACAATGGGAGCTGTTGAGTCTTGTTGCAAGGTGAGAGTGGAGGGACTTACGGACTACAAAACAAGCGCTACTGCCACACACCCAGACACCCATCTGGGAACCCAAACTCCCTCAGAGGCCTGAGAAAGACCAACCTGGGGACAGCCCTGCTGCATTTCCGATTACTTGGCTAGGCTCTGGTTACACCCCAAGGAAGGGAGATTGGGGAAATGCCTAGTTCTCCCTAGGACTTTGCTGCCCCCTGGTGGCCACCATGCCCACAGCAGCCCCAGGAGTACCTTTGTCAACATGTTCATGCTCACAGCAGTGGTCACCGCAGTAGTTGTGGCTGTGAGGTAGGAAAGGGCCATCTGCCTAGTGGAGGAGAGAGGTGCTTAGGAATGGGGAGCCCTTCGGGCTGAGAGTAAGACCATGGCTTGAGTGAGAAAGTCTGGAAATGAGGCTTCATACCTGAGCAGCTCATGTGGTTTGTCCCGTGTCATCTTGTAGCCTCCCCCTAACTCCAGGTGATCCAGCCCCCTGGGCCTCCTTTCTGTACTTTATTTATATTTGAATTCAACAAACACTGAGTGTCTATTCTGTGCTATATATTGTTCCAGGTACTTCCTTTCTGTCCTTTAAACACACCCAGCTTTTTCCTACCTCAGGATCGCTGCTCCCTACCCAGGGTATTCTTCCCTGGTCTCTTTCTTTTCCTTTTTAATATATTTTTTATTGATTTCAGAGAGGAAGGGAGAGGGAGAAAGAGATAGAAACAAAAATGATGAGAATCATTGATTGGCTGTTTCCTACACATTCCCTTCTGGGGATCGAGCCCAGGCATGTGGCCTGACCACGAATCCAACCATCACCTCCTGATTCATAGGTCAACGCTCAACCACTGAGTCACACTGGCTGGGCTCCCCGGGCTCTTTCATAGCTAAATCCTTATCCTTCAGAACTGAGCTGATACATCAGCTGGATAGGGAGGACTTCCCTGACCAGCCTATCTACACAGACACCTCTCTGCTGTTCTCTGTCTTGTCACCTGTGTGTTTCCTAATGGCGACGATCTGAGATTACTGTACTTGTTTTCATAGAAAACCTTCAATTCTACAAGAAGAAGGACCACAAATGCCTTACTCAAATGTATCCCCAGCACCTGAGCCATTACTGGCATATGTGTAGAATGAATGTAGAAGAAATACTTTTAGAATGAACACATTTTGCCCTAGCCAGTTTGGCTCAGTGTATAGAGCGTTAGCCTGCTGGCTAAAGGGTCCCGGGTTCGATTTCAGTCAAGGGCATATGCCCAGGTCGCGGGCTCAATCTC